ACATGAATTATCAGGCTAAAATGTAACGCTATGTTTAAACAAGTTTATCTTTAGAAATAACTTTTCATTTTATGTAGATGATGGATATTTGCATAAAGCTTTCAGTTGTGATGGGGAAATGTTCATTGTGGAAGAGCTACAGCTGTTTCTGTCTCCTGAGCCTGTAAAATCTCTCCAGCTGTCTTCTGAAAAGGTAGAACTTCTGTCCCTCCATATGGAAAGTGACTGATGTAATAGCTTGCCTCAGGCTTTGCTGTTCTGTGTTTTCTTCTGGCTTTTAACTAGCCTCTAAATGTCTCATAATTCTGCTTCTATCATGTATTCGTTAATAACAGAAGCACAAAACATCTTCTTTTCTGTAGAGGAAGAATTTGTGTGTGTCAAAACATAACTGGAACAAGCCTTTATGTTTGTTAAAAAATTAGGGAAGGGACTCTGTCATTTTACATGCTATGGAAAGCTAGGTTTTTGTCTCATTCATATCACCATCTTATAAGATTTTTAGTTTACTGATATTGTAATAAATACCAGAAAATCTTACAATCCAAATTAGAAAATAACAGCTTAAAATCTCAGTCTGCTGTAAAAGAACTCCTTCCTGCATTTCTAGGGAATGCTGTATGTAGGGTCCCTATCTCAAGTTGTACAGCTTCCAGTTTCTGAGTGCCACCGATACAAGTACTGCTGGGATTGCATCTTGGCAAGGGATCCTTACTGCGCGTGGTCTCAGAGCGCTAATGAGTGTGTTCCACTGGCAAATCAAACTGGTCATACGAAGTAAGTAAAAAGCTATTATTTCAGCTGCACATCTGATGTGAGATTGCTTTATCTGTGCACTCTTAAATGTCTGCAACACAAAACTAGGATGATTCCTAGAAATGGAATGATACAAGCTGGAACACTTCTTGTCTGTGTTTTCATCTGTTTGGGTTTTGGGTTGGGTTTTTTTCTTTTTTTTTTTTTTCCCAGGAATTTAATTCAAAGTGTGAAATATGGGGATGCTTCCAGCTGCCTTAGTGAAGGTATGTGAACGTTTGTTTTAAGAAAGAATATTTTAACTTCATGCAATCAAAATGTTTGTTCAATTTGTGCTTACTGGAATTCTTGCGTTATAGAAAAACACAATTAAAGTTGTGTTATTACTTTTGAACTAAGACTAAAAAAAACTCACATTGAGCTGGTACTGTCTAATGTTCTTAACCCTCTCAAGATACATGTCAGAATACCTCTGCTGAGACTGAAACTCTTACTCTCAAGGGAAGCATGAATGTGACCCGTTTGAAGTTACTGCTGTCCCTCCGACACCCACTTTGCAGAAATCACATGACACATCAGATGTCCTATTAAGTCTGTCACTGCTTTAGGATGCTCTTCAAGAGTACACTTAAAAAGAAGGCTGGTTGTTACCAGCCATTTAAAATTACTTTTATTATTTTAGTGGGACTGGGAAATTAATTACTTTTAATGTAGAAATGCAGGTATGTGTGATCTGGTATTATTATGCAGTGACTTCGTAATGAGTTGCAAGATACATTCCTTTCTTCGTGACACAAGATGTATCTCTTACCTCCACTTACATCTCTTTAAAGTCAGAGTTGTCTTTAGTCTTGTATATTTTAGGCCGCATGACAAATGATAATAAGGCAGTCAGTGGATAGTTGGGGAACTTTTACATAGCTGATACAGGAGTTGTGCAGACATTAAAGCATTTCTGTAAAGACCTCTCATTAACCAATATAGAAGCTGAGGCATACAAAGGTAGATTTATTTATGCATGGCTATGTGTACAGGTGAGGCAAAATCAGATTAAAATCTGGAAGTCTTAAATTTCCAGTCCCATATTCATTCTGTTACACATCAGTGGGAATAAGGGCAGCAAGGTGTCACTGATAAGTCAGACCTGTTTGTAATGGGGTTTCTTTGTCTTCACCCCTTACCTGTTCATTACCCATTGTTAAGACAGATGAATTAAATTTTCTCTTTATTTGAATACATATTTGGTTATGTAAATTAAACTAAATCCCCAGTGTTCTTACTTAAAAAAAAAATTATCTTCATAATTTCAGAAAATAGTGTGAGAAAATACCTCTTTACCCTTGGAAACAATGTTCATCTTAAATGTGTTCCTCTGTCAAATCTGGCAAGCATAGTGTGGACGTTTAATGGGAGCAGACTTCAGGCCGAGGACTCTAAATATCTCCTCTATGATGGAGGAATAGCAATATTTAATGTGACAGTGGATGCAGCTGGATTCTATGATTGTCTCTCGGTAGAGAAATCCAAAGGGAAGGAATTCCTTGTCACTGTGGCCCGCTATGCCCTTTATGCCCAACAGAAGACAGAGGAAGCAAATGTTGTTGCCACAGCAAATAAGCATAAGGAAGCAGGAGCTGAGGGTTTTCAGTCTTCAGTACCACCTTCTTTACTGAACGAGGCAGCAAAACAGAAATCCATGGGCAGCCAAAGCGAGAAGCTTGTTTTAAAACTCTTGGGGGCTGGGTTTGCTCTTCTTTTCTTTTTCCTGTTGGTTTGGAACTTCTACAGGGGTCATTTATCTCTGCCTTGGAAGAGCAGAGAAACCAGCTCAAAAACCACTGGTACAGCTGGCTTGGGAAGTCCAGCACTGGCTACAGAAGAATCAGGCAGTGTAAGGAAGAGTTCAGCCACACAAACGAACATGTCTTGTGTTAATGAATCAATGCTTGTGAGCTTTTCTTAAGGAGTACGGCGGGAATGCATAGCAGTGCTTGCAGCTCGCAGAGCTGTTTGTCTGAGGTGACATGATGTTTCCTCTTAAGGAATGTGGAATGTAAATTTGGGTAGAAGTCAGAAATGCTGAATTGGAAGATGACAAGCTGCATTGTGTATTACATAGATGTGTTACGAGTGACTAGTTTTACAAGCAAAATTCCTTGTTTGGGTACCTTTTTGACATGATAGAACCATAAGAATAAATTTATTTCAAAAATTGACACTGATCTACTTTTTTGTAATGTTGGGGTTGCCCAATTACAGAAATTAATACTTCAGAAGCTAATAATACTTAGCATTTAGGGCTTTCACCTTCAGACTTTCTGTTTAATCTACAAATAGCAACTAATTAAGTCTCCCAATACCCCAAGAGGTTGCTACTATCCTCATTTTACATGTGAGGTTAAATTACTTGTCACTGACCATAGTGAGTATTGGTGTCAGATCTGGTGCTTTGTTAGAAATTCCTGAGTCATCTTCCTGTATTTTATCTTTCTCTTTTTTCCTCTCCTTTGCCTTTTTTTAGGCTTTCAAAACACTTTCTGTGCATTTATTTTTCTAATGTGTTTTTAGTGACCTTTATGATACATCTTCCTCTGTCCAAAAATGTCATGAATCAACTCTACGGACTGCATCGTTGTTCTGAATTTATTTCTGAGGTGTGGTCAAAATTCAGACATGGTAGCTCCTTTTGTTAAAGGCCATTGAAAGTTGAGCATTTTTTCTGAGATACTTTTTGCTTCATTTTCAAATAAATGTTCTCTTACATTTTCTTGTTTGGAAAATAACATGGGTTCTTGATCACAAAAATCGCTGAACAAAAGGCTATGCTGCCTCACTCTGTCTCTTGCCAGACATGCATAAAGTACAAAGTTGATGTTCTTCTAGATGCAGACAGCTTATTTTTTTCCAGTTTTCACATAGCTGTGGAAGGAGAAACCTGCTTGGAAATGGATTCTCCTGTGTAGAAGTCTGTACCAGCTCTAGCAAGACACCTGCTTTCTCAAGTTAAACAGGAATGCATGGAAATTAAGATGGTGTGCACAATATAGATACCTGGGTAGGAAGACCAGATAAGCAGCTATTTGGTGTTTTTTCTCCTGTAAAACATAAATAGGTTAAGCTTCTTTACATTGGAGCAAAGTCACAGTCTCTTCTTTTAGCATACCTTCTTTCTCCCAGGATCAAATTATTCTTCTGTTATGCTTCATAACAACAGATTCTTGTGTATTATGGGCAAATACTATAGAAGGAACGTGAGGGCAGTTGTTGAACTTGGAAGAAGCAAATTCACGGATTACTGTGTCTGTCACGCTGCTGCTTACCAACGCAGCGATGTTTGCGCTTTCCATGGAATGATGCAAAGGTGGGAACGATCTCAGCCTTTCTAGCAAGGAGAAGCCATAGGCACGAAGTGTAGACAAGAGAACTACATAAAATGGACATCTGAAAATTAGAAGACTGGATAGCTGCTGGCAAACCGTTATACAAAGACCTGCCTGGCTGCATTTCGGTGATTGTATCAGTGCAATGCAGGAGCAAGATCTGAGGTGCGTATCTTGTCTCAGTTCAAAAGGGAGTTGGTCTACTTCCTTGCAGGGTTCCCTTATCTATATTCCTACTCCCTGTATGCAAATGGCTATATGGAAATTAATGATGGAGGCTGGATAGTGGTAAGTAACTAATAACATAGGAAGTGATCAAAATTTCCATTCTTGTCTTTGGGGACACTTAACTCTCTTCCCTTAGTGGAAGGAAGTGCAGATGGAATATAAAACCCCATTTCAGAAAATCCTCACAAGGCTACCAGCATTTGGTTTTAGTTCAATTCCTGC